GCGCAATAGACTGCTTCAAAACAACTCGAAGTGCTCTGCCTGCAATGAACCAGCTAGTTGCCTCTGAACACGTCAAAAATCACAAATTTTAGTAGCCTCGCCTAGTAAACGCAACTAATATACGCAACTAATAGCACCTACACCGCATGAAGAATAGGTAGTGGTCGATATTGGATATAATGAAATACATTGCATATTCATCGGAATAACAGCGCAGAATACACTTACGTGAAAAAAGTTGGTACAGCAGGTTGCATAGAAAAAAGTAAGTATAACAGTACTACACAATAAGTACATAGACTCTAGAAATCTGTTCTTTTTAACAGTAAAAGCAGAAGCATAAAAAAAAAACATTGCCATCACTACGAACTTGAACTTCTACGCCACAGCATCTTTAGTCAGCAGGTGCATGCGAGTGCCCCTTGCAGGTTGTGGCTACTTATCAAAACGCTGCATACAAAGTTTGCTCGTATTCGAGGTTAATAGCAGCCCTCAGCTAACGAGTCAGTTACAGCAAAAATAGTAATTGCAAAATTTACTTTAGAGTTCTTTTTACTTCAAAAGAGGTTCCTCCCATTCTACGTATTCAACAAAGCCTGCCGTAACAAATTAAAAATAAAACAAATTTAAAAATGAAAAGATCGTCTATTGTGGATACTCAACTTTGAAAGAATGATACTATAAGTGATACTTAACCTAATATGATAACGATAACCAATCGCTAAGTATAAGAGGGTAACGGTGATACTAGAACAGCAATACTTCGCAAGATAAACGTGACGTTTTCACCTGCTTTAAGAGGCGCTGGGATGCAAAGGGTGATGAGCAGAGCAGGCTTCTGACCAGCAGCAGCCGAAGACTGGGCATTTATAAACTCTCGACCATGTACATACATTGACAGATTCTTCAACCAAAAAGAAGATTTACTCGTTAATGATGCACAATAATTTTGTGTTATCGAACCGAAGGTTTATGTATCGTAAACTGTACTAAAACCCGAGAGTGTGCTTAGAGTCATTCTTTGGCGACTGAAAAATGTTAACACCAAATGGCTTCCTAGGAATTCGCCTTATTTTTCACACCTAAACAAGTGGTAAATCTTCCGAAGATCGTATGTATCCAGTGTGCGATTATGACAGAAACAATGGGTCACAAACCATTGTGACTTCGCGACATTGAGGTCGCTGTTGACCAAGTAAAGAGTACCAGCCAATCATCCGTTACATAACTGCCTCCTACATAGAATGTTTTTGGCTTACAATGCATTTGACATCAGTGAAAGATTTCGACAGAGATTAAGCTTATTGGACTGAACACGAGAAAAAAACGGACTATGAAGGAAGTTTTTCTTATGTAATGTTCATAATAATACTAACTTATGTTCATCGACGGTCGAACAATGTTCGCTGAAAATTATGATAATATGTTATTCAATTTATATTCCAACTTTTAATGCTTATCATTATCGTTTAGAATTGATGATGCATGAAAAACTTATTGCTCATTAACTTTTTTGTTGTTAGATGCAAAGGCTTTAGATAATCATTATATTTTTTAATCAAAGTGTACATAAAATTTTTATGAAAGAAATCGTCAAAAAATGATCGAAGTGTTTTTATTTTTATTAATTTTATGTATCTCAAGTCTTCATGCTTATCACGTAAACTAATGTTAAATTCATTATGAGCAAAATTTAAAAAAATAGTACATTTCGAATTATACGAATATTTACCAACAAGCGCTAGACTGCAATTATTTCAGCTTGTGCATATAATTGTTTAAATTTTGTTGCTACAAACACCAAAGCTTGTTTCCAAGATATAAAACGTCATAAAAGAGAGAAGGATCACTAAAGCTCTATGTGACAGGGTTTTATAAATTTCAGCTAATACTCAATGAAATTGCTAATAATTTAAAGTAAGAATTAATTCTGCGATTATATGTTTTTTGTGAGGCTTCGAGACGTAACTCAATAGCGAATTCGAATGAAAATCTTCTACAATACCTACTGTTTGAAGCAACTTATAAGTGGTACATTAAATATTTAAGACAGCATTCAGGCTCATGATGTACACAAACTTTGACACCGCGCTGACAAACAGCACAAGAAGGAATGCATTCCCAAAAGAAAAGCTTTTCTGGCTACCGGACGGAAAAATAAGCGTGATTTATTATCACCAAAATAAGTGGAGCTGAAATGTTTGTTTTCATATTTAGCGTCAAGGACAAGATTTATTCCTTGATAGGGCAAACCGAGTTAGAAATAAACTTGTTTTGCTACCTAATATTTGGCAGCGGTCAAGGCTGAAAATTTTAATTTCACTTGATATCGATTTCTATTTTATGCTGGTAGCAGACGAATCGAGAGTAAAAACTGTATTATTTAAACCAATTTTCGACCAGTCATGACGAAGTACACGAGGAGAAGGTGATTCGAATTTTGCTAATGAGAAAAGCTGAAATTTGCCATATTTCCTTTCCCTACCGATAAGAACTGATCGCATCTCGAATACCAGAACAAAGTTTTTTTTGAAAAACCCTCAGATCTGGCGAGTACCTACACAACGACCTTGTTTTCAAAAATTACTAATTCTTTGACCACGAAAGAAAAGAAATAACTTAGTCTCGATAGTAATTTTATTCTCACGCTGTATACACTGACTATTTCAAAACGCACCATTGATCGAAGCCCTCACAAGTGTCTTCAGCTTTGAAGCTGAAATGTTTACGCCAGCAACGCTGAAAAGTGCGAACCTGGCTTAAGTGCTATTCGTTGGATCTTAGCATTAGGCGGCAGAATTTTCGTCGGATCTTTGCATAATTCTTCTAAACACGAAGATCTTTTTGTAATTGTATGAGGACAAGTATCCCTTGTATTGTCAGCAAGTGTTATTGGTAACTATAGTAATACGTACTGCCTAATATTCATTGCCGTATTTGTTCCAATTCCTGAATGAATGGCAATACACTCGTTCTTCGAAATGAAAATTTATTGCTGAGACATAGAGTTGGAATAAATTCATGCGAATGACATTTATTCCATTTATTCATCTATTATAGAAACACCTGTATATTTAAGTATTTTCGAATATTTAATGGGACGAATATTATTAGAGGTAAACAAATGGTAAACAAACCGTTGGAATAAAAAGATAATGCGATCTAAGTGAAATCTTGGAAGCAAATTCCGCAGAGTTGTTTGGTTGCTGAATAATTTCATCACATTTGTCTCTTCCCCACCTAATAGTATATGGGCGGTCCCAGCCAGCAGGGCAATGGCTAAAATAAATGACAATATTATTTGAAGATTTAAACTATTCAGCTCACTAAATGTTTATATAAACGTTCATAAAAAATTAAATTAAACTAAAAATTCACTAGAAATTAAATAAAACGTAGGTAATTCTGACTTCAGTTTATTAAACATAACTTATGTAAAGTTGTAAATAGGCCCGCGCGATGTAAAAAAATTATAGGCAGGATCTGACTTGACCGAAAAATTGGGGTAGAAAACGGAGAAAGCGAATTGGTTTATAGTTCGGAATGGCCGAGGTTACCGAAAGGGCTGACCCGTGTGTAATTCAAAACTGTCGCGGTGTCCCCTTCTGGGCTTATGTGTGCGCTACGTCTGCCTGTATAAGGACCCTAAAATTCGCGTCAAAATGTTTTTCTGCTGTGGTGACCGTCACGCCAGTACGGTCTGCAGCTATCTCCGCAGACGTAGGTGACGGCCCCGGCCGTCGGCCGGCGGGATCAGAAATAACGAAATTCGAGACATTCATACAATTAAGACACCAGTATAATAACATCAAAAATTCACGAGCACAGCCGTAACTTCGCCATATTAGTACGGTCAACTTTCATTGATACGGTTCAACGATATTACATATAATATCGTTGTATGGCGTAATTATCAACGTAACGTATCGTATCGTTGTATAATATGGCGTACCTATCAACTCAAGCTAACAGAACATTCAAGATGGAGCACTGCGAAACAATTATCATCGTTACGGTCATCGTCAGTAGCAATACGGTAACGATCACCAACAACTGCACAAGTACGGCAACGAGCTTAGATGAGCATCATAGACGATAAAGTCTATGTCACTATTCAGAAGAACGGTCGCTATAAATTCTCCGGTCCGTTCGGCAATGAGATCTAGATCTAAGGCCGTGTGATCTAAGCACTACTATGAAGACATAACGTCTGAAAAGCGACAGCGGGGACGCGAGGCTACGGCTCTGGTAGGGCCTCAAACGTGCGCATTAATTACGGAAGTTAGGAATTCATACATTAAACAGCTGATTCCTGTATCATCGCGTTCTAATTAAATTGATTAGTTACAGATGTCGGAGGTCGCGGTTAAGAAATAAACGACAGCGATTGGTGCCAGTGGTGCTTTATTTTTATACGTAGATTCTGATTTATTTTACGAGGTATAGTTAGTTATTCTCGGCAGGTTGATTTATTCCAAATTAAACTATTCACATCAAAGAACTGTCCACTTGATAGACTTGGAATGCAGTTTCAGTGAATGAATAATATAGATAACATTCTCACATAGATCACCATGTCTTAGCTTCAACTTCATAACTCAAATCTACATATTCGAATTATTCAAATTGATTAATGGCATCCGCACTTAACTTGACTGGCTGGCTGAACATTAACTGCACAGACATGAACTTAATGAACGTTATCAGCACACAATATGTGACTGGTTGTCTGAAGGAATAAAATCAATTAAGTTCACTGAATTATAGAATGCTAATTTACACCATTGAACTGAAAAGGCTAATTATAATTGTCTGAATGCGCTGTTTAAATGTAGAAACTGTACAACTATTTAGTTGGATGAAATTTTAACGTATTAAATGACTCGTGTAATAAAGTGGTGTTTTGAGCTCAATTTCTACTGCCAAAACCTTATAATGGCTTTAATGATTCAGAAACACCACATACATGCGTATAATTGCTACCTTGCCTAAGTATACAGAAAGCAGCTGATATAGCGAGTGTGTGTAGGAGGGTGATTGCTAATTATTCTAATCTCCATTTTTTAACCGTTATAATATATATTTTTATATTCATCTTCGTCATTATCAACTATTTGTCGTGTCATTCCAGGCATAAATATAATATGAACCTTGATTCAGTCGTGAAGATAAAACATTCCAAAAACATATCCAGTAAAAACGGGAACAAGAAAACAACTCCTCCTGATATGCTTAGAAAATTAAAAACCAAAATCATAATTACATTAGAATTCCCATAGTTATGAATCATGGTTCCCTTGAGAAACAATGCATGAGAATAGTCTGTATGCAAAATTTGTTAATAGGATTTATTGGGCCGGAGGCCTTGCCAAAATCTTGGTTGTGGACGGAATTTCGAATTGTTTTTCTTTACTCTAGACAATAATTGAAAGAAATGGTTTCCATGAAAAGAATTAACTTTCTTACGTGCTGGAATTGCATGCAGGATACTGGATGAAGACCTTGTTCCTCAGCATCATAATCACGTAACCAGACAACCCGAAAAAAACGAAATCAAACACAACACCCGCAACAAAGTAGAAATAGCTCTTGATTGTGAACCTCTTATAAATCGCAGCATATTTTTTCTCCGCTTCTTCGTTGTCCTCCCAAGCGTTGCAGGGAAATTTGCTGAAGATTTTGTCCTTTGGCGTGTTGGCAACCTTGGTTGATACGTCCCCACCAGTCAAGTTTTCGCGAGTTGAGTACACGGGCGTGATCATGTTCGAGTTGAAGAAAGGTCCTTCGTTTGTTGATCTCAAGCTTTTTATTTCTTTTCCTCCAATGTCGGACTTGACGCCACCTTTCACTGCGCCCGTGGGCTCCACATTAGACTGTAAAGCTAATTCATTTCTCTTTGCCAGGTCTTTAGCTTTTCGATCTTTGAAGGCAATGAGCCAGCGGTACACGCCCAGGTGATTGAGGCAAACGAAAAACATCCTCAATATCCCGTAGAAGAAATAAATATCGACGAATTTCGGGGCCGCCGAGATGGGGATGACGACGCAGATTTGCGAGTACAGGCCAGCTTCGACGATAAGGCAGGCGAGCGTCACGGCGATGCGGTCTCTGCGGTCACATGGATTATTTTAAATACCTGAGTAATCCTTGCTTAAAGAAAAAGCAGGTAGTTTTTATTTCTAATTATACTCAAGCTTAGTCTAGGTAATCTCAATTATCCCTATTATGCACCCTTCATGGCCCCGGGTTAACTTTCTTCTCTACCAAAAATTCCATTCTCAGTCAACGTATAAACAATCACTTACTCACTGTCCTTTACTTATTGGAAGAAAATAATTAAAATCTAAAAATAGCTAGTTTACGCTTAAGATGAGATAGTTTTGACCCAAATACATTTTACACGATGCAAATGCTCATCTCAGTCGTAACCGTATTTAAATTCCCATATGTAGTATCTGTCGCGCGGAGGATTTATACTCGGTAGTTCCTATGTGCACTGATTATCAAATTTCGAGCTAATAAGTAATTATTACTGGAAATTTTCAAAGGCATAAAGGAGCGTGGAGACGCCGATGGTGGTGATGACCACGACCGGCGCGAAGATGCTCAGCACGAAGCCTCCGAAGAGGCTCTCCAGCAGCACCTGCTTGTGCAAACTCAACTCAACACGATTGCTTCTCAGCTCAATAACGATCCTATATAACTTTTGTTTCACAAAATCCATTACTTTGTTTGAACAAAATAATTTTTTAAGTTCCCAAGAATTAAACCGGAGTAATAAAAAGAGGTTAGTTGTGTACACCATTAATCACACACCAACGATCACAGTGGCCTGTAATCGTTACGGGGAGATCCTCTGCAACAATTGTTCAAAATTGAGCACGACAAATTGCTCAATTATTCGCAGGAACGAGACAGTACACTGGTATTGCCAGGACTGCCAACAACCTGCGCTTGGCGCTGTAAAATGCAAAAAGATGGCGGAAAAGAAGTGCTCTTCCATGTTCTCAGTCTTTGGACCGAAATGGAAGAAACTCACAAGAAAGAGTTGAGAAAGAGAGCCAAAATGGAGGAGAACCGCAAAAAAGAGTTGAGCTTGTTGCGTAAAGAATTACACTCGTTGTGAAACGAGCTGGTGGAAATGAAAGCTCATTTACACACAAAACATAAAAGAGCTAAAACACAGAAGGTAAAGGCCACAAAGAGGTCATCTCTGATTTCGCCGGCGAGAGCACTCGTGAGCTGCTGGATAGAGAAAGCAGAAGACTTAACCTGGTTTGTTTTGGCGTTCCCGAAAGCAATGCTTCGGACGCTGCGTTTATTACTGATTCTTGTGCCAAGGCACTTAAAGTCGTTGTGAATATAACGGCATGCAAGAGGATGCGATCGAAAAACGCTACCACCTGTAGACCGCTGCTGGTGACTGTGCAGGATACACCCCAGGTCGGACATGTGCTTAAAAGGCTGCGAGAAAGTCAAGTGAATTCCCAGAGTTTAACTCAGTCTCTGTTAAGAAGGATGCTACTCTTTAGAGAGAGCGAATTTTCGCAAGAAATGGCAGGAGAGAATCGGGCGGAAAAGCACGGAAACTCAAGTCAACCACTCCCACGATGTCAAGATAGCACCGGCCGCACACGGTCAGTCAGTGGACCTGGAAGACAAGTAAGAAGTCATGTCCATAGGTACTGGCCTGTAAAAAATGTAAGAAGTAACCGCATGCACCAAAGTGAAAGGGCACGAAAAGTTTTAAAATGTTTTTCTACGAACTTGGTTTCCGTAAACAAGTGAACTGTTAACTATGATTGCAAACGAGTGCATAGACATTATTTGTATTACAAAAGCACTCCCTAAAAATCGCGTGGGGAAAATTGTACTTGTTGAATTTCAGTTGCAAGGTTGATAACTTGAATGAAGAGCAGTGCAGTAGAATTTTAGCTCTGTGGGTTAGAACCTCTCATGGGACCCAGCAAGTTAAGTTATCTGCAGAGCATCAATCAGCTAAAGAATCAGTGTGGTGAGAACTTACTCTCAAAGGTAAAGATAGCCTCCTCATAGGCATCGTGTATAGATCAACAAACAGTTCCTCTGATAACGATACAGTACTAACCAGTCTTTTTCCGAGCATTATTTTCCGTAGGTCACACTCATTGATCGTTGGTCCAGACACATTGATTGTTGATCATCCAGAACAAGACTTGACAGAAGGATCCTCTCCTAGGGATGGGAATCACCCAGCACCCCTGTTATGGGGTCTGTGAGAGACTCCTTCTTAGTCCAGCACGTTACCAAGCCAACCATTATAGGAGTAAACATACTCCCAAAATTCTAGACCTGGTGTTTATCTGTGATGAATTATATTAGATGAGCTTCGTCACGAGGCTCACCAATCATTGTTTTTCAGAACAAAGTGCTGTAGAGAAAAGACGCCTCATAAGCGTGAGTGTTTGAATTTTGCGAAAGGCGACTATGACGAACTCCAAGAAGCAGTGAATATTTCGAACTGTATTAATGACATGAATGTGACCGAGTCATGGTCATTTCCCAAGGACATGGTTATATCTGCAGTTGATGCATGTGTACCTAAAATTGCGCTCAATGGAGTAAGAAGACTCAATGAATAAACACAATAGTTCTAGCCAAGGCTGAAAACTAAGAAGGAATACTACTAGCGTTATTAACGGATTCGGAGCGATGCTGATTATAACCTATACGCCAAAACTCGAAATCTAGCAAAGAAAGCTTTCACACCGCAGTAAAAATTTTCGAAAAAATATTGGCAAAAAGGCAAAAAAGAACCCGAAAGCTTGTTTTCGGTACGCTAGCTCAAAGTCAAAGACAAATGACGGTATTTCTGATTTGAAAGTAGATCAATGAAAGATAACATCTAATGAGGGAAGAGGCTAACGTTCTTAATCAGTTATTTAGTAGCGTACGTATTCATTGAAGAGGACTTGAACAGTATTCCAGCTAGTGAGGAGCGCCCAGTCGGCCATAAATTAACAAGTTTTGAAATACAAGAAGAAGAGGTTAACAAGCGCCTGGTCGCTCTAAATCCCAACAAGTTATGTGAACCGGACGGCTTCTACCCCAAATTACTCAAAAAGTTAGCAACCGTCCTAGCCGGCCCATTGACGTAATTTTATCGAAAAACTTTGAACGAAGGGATCTTGCCGGCTGACTGGAAAGAAGCTCAAGTGACACCATTGTTCAAAAAATGTGACAAAAGATGGCCGGGGAACTATCGCCCTGTCATTTTGACAAGTGTCGTTTGCAAGGTAATGGAATCTGTTGTGAAGGATCGATTGATCGATCATTTGACTGCTCATAATCTCCTATCAGACTGTCAACCTGGCTTTATTGCCGGTAGATCCTGCACCACTAACCTCTTGTCTACTCTGAACGAATGGACCCGCCTACCGGACGAAAAGGAGCCAGTATATGCAGTGTACCTCGATTTCGTGAGGTTTGAAAACAACAGTGAAGTTTGGAGGTGGCAGAATAATGCTTTGGGGTTGTTACTTATCTGCAGGCCCTGGTGAATTGGAAACCATAGAAGGAAGGATGAACTCCGAAGCGTATCGGGGCATTCTTCTCGTGAAGTCAGCCGAAAAATTGAACCTTCCTCGAGGATGGATATTCCTAAGAGACAATGACCCTAAGCACACGGCTAGGGCTATTTTGCATGGTTTCAGGAGGGAAATTGAGTTATTGGAATGGCCAAGCCAATCACCTGTCCTCAATCCAATTAAAAATCTGCGGCGGGATTTGAAACTGAGGGTACTGGAGAGAGATCCAAGAAATCTAATCCAATTGAAAGAAATGTGCAAGAATGAGAGGGCTAAAATTCCTCTTAGTATATGCGTCTATCTTGTGGAACAGTATTCCAATCGGTTCAGCAGCAGTTTTGGATGTAAGTAAGAATGTAAGAATGTGGAGTAACGTGTCATAATAATTTGCCTAATCCATGAAGTGTTAGTTTCGACTGGTTACGCACGGTGACGGTGATGGTGCGTGGCGTTGAGTTGCTCGGTACCTGGAAGCAGCTGTACCGCACCATGAAAAGTGACATCCTCTGCTCTTTCAGCTCCAGTTGCGTTGCCTGTGATAAGGAGCAATCAGCGTATGAGGTGTTGATTCTTAGAACATTCTATCATTTTGTTTATTCCCAACACATAACACGAATGTAAAATCAAACGTCTGATGTCGCAGTTCAGTCCAGTACCGTCTACTTTAGCCTATGTGCGGTGCCTTGATATTTAAGCATTGACATCTCAACGAACAGGATCACCAGCTCGCGTTCTACGGTCAATATGTCATTATGTTGGATGTTTCCATCAGAATGTGCTGCCAAAGCGATAAGGTGTCAATATTACGGGTCTGTGTGAACATTTCCATCACAGATGTAGGCATAAACCTACTCGTAACAAGCCGTATCAACCACGGTCAGTACTGCTACCACTGCAAAGCTGTGGCTGGACATACTAACGCTAACACTCTCATTGCGTCGTCCTTGACTGTATAAACTAAGTGTTTGTGAGACAACGGTTGCAAAATATTTGAGCAACTTGGAATTTGGCTAGCATATATTGAACTTCGGGTGAATGGCACCACGATTATGTTCTAAGTTGTGGAATAGGTTTACGTCACATATCCTCTGTATGTTCAATTGTTCGTGTCACTATGAGAGATGTGCACATCTGGCCCTTTAGTGTTGTGCTGTTCTCCGGAGGAAGTGCCTGTAGATTTAAAAAATTACATCCGATGTACGTAGCCATTTAAATTTCTGCAGGTGTTGAATGAAGGTTAAGAATTTATTTCCTAACATAATGAAATTGTTTCTATTGAGTATTTATTTGTCATTTTCTGTTATTTACTTATTTGTTGCTTGTCTTAATTGATAATTATTCTCCACCCGAATAAGTCTTTGTGGTGATGGTAGACGTATTGCAATTCCAATAACCTACTTACAACTGTTTACGCTTAAACATGTGAAGCTGCACCGCAATTGCTGTTTGATAACAAACTAGTTAACATGGCGTTCATAATAGATTTAGTTTGACTCCTCATCATTATTGCATGGCTACATCGCGGTTTTATGAGGACTCTAACTTGCCAATGTATGATCCTAGACTGTTCCTAATTGCACCAACTGCTGATATCAATAGAGCGCATCGTAACTCACGGACATGTTGAAGTATGGACCATTGTCACTCTGGTCATTCAAGGTGATGTTGTACATGCAGGGATGAACCCCAAAAGGGTAGATCGTCAGGTCGAAGTCACAGAGCAGAGTGAAGGAAGTGAGCTCCATGCGGACCACCTCGGCTTCGTACAGGCGCTCTGGAGATGATCGATGTTGTTTACAGAGGCGGACAAAGTGAACATCTTTTAGTTGTTGTCTTCGTGAAGCCATAAGACAGATTAGAGACATAATACGCTTTTTATTTTTTTGCTGTATCAGAGAAAGTTCTACTCCACTTGAGGAAAAACCACTACCCACTAAAAAAATTGTTGAATTATATTAACCTATTAAATTCATACAACCACTCCCTAGAGTAAAATTAATAAATTTTTCGACTTAAGTGATAATCGGTGTTGAATCATGAAAATTATTGCATGAAATCTTTCTACTAGTGCACTACCCCCTATGTAATTCATATAAACACAGGGGAACATTGGCGAATTATTCTTCTACTTATGTGATATTCGGCGTTACATCATGAAAATAATTACAAGGAAACCCTTATGAAAAACTACTGAAATGCCACTTATAAAATTTATACGCCTCATGCCAAAGATTTAGGAATTATTCTAATTGAGTGATATTCGATGCTAAATAATAAGAGTTTTTTTATAGCAAAACCCAATTATAAAACTACTGAACTGCCACCTATTTAATTCATTTGTGTCTTTCATTGCTGCCAACATTTATTGCTTCTTTTAATTAACACATTCTTCAATTAATGTAAAATATTAGAAATGGAACAATTTGACGAAACCCGGTTGGTAGTTTATACACCTTCTTCGCTAAGTTATCGGCTTTCAACTTTATTAACGTCCATTAACCCTGAAGTGCCAACCACCTGCCTTTTTTTCGTTTATACATGTCGCTGAAACCGATACAAATAATTCAAGCCGATAAGAAGTAATATAAAAAATGGAGAATGAATCTTGAAAAAAGTTTGCTAGAGGAATTATTAGATAGGAATGATGGAAAAAAAAAACTCAGGTATAATTTAACTGTTCAGTGTTACTGATTACTCACTTCTCTGGCTCTTGTAGGTCTTGATGGTCGTAGCGTTGCCGCGATCTGCCATGAGCCTCGAGATGCTGTTGTTCCCCTGGTAGTAATCCCTTTCGTCCTCAAACACCAAAGTTTCGAAGCGGTATTTCGGGTACCATATGTCTTCTGAAATGACGTTCCTCTCCAATTCTTCCTGAAGTTGGACGAATTCAATCCTTTCGTCTTTCCATGAAGTCTTAACCTGTTCAAAGTAAGTTTTGGTCAATTAGAGAACTAGATGGAGTGGAGATGGGAGATCAACGGAGCAGCGCGTGTCAACACGCCAAGCTCTTAAGAAATTGCACCGCAGTCCGCAGTCTATGGAAAATAGGGCTTACGAAATGATTAGGCAGTGAAGTATTAGTATTCTCTTGTTCGTGGTAATATTATGATCTCTTAACTTCATAAAGAGCAGCTAGAAATATCCGTAATTTTTCCATAAACCCAACGGATGTTGAAAATTTGGAATACTTGGTCTGTCACCTCCTCAATACTAACGTTATGTGTCAACGATGTCATTTACTCACTTCAATTTTAAGCTTGAGACGGCCGTTAGTAATATCCACGTCAGAAATGGATCTGATTCTGATATTAAAACTTTACGCAGCTAGAGTTAGTGCAATGAATATTCTACAGTCTACACAGAATACTCGCAGTAACAGGTGGGTGAATAGCCTTACCCACGATTACCTAAAATATAATAGCTTGAATTTGATAAAATCTAATAGCATTTGAATGGTCAAGCTCGTGTCAAGTATGACGTATACAATTGAACCCCATAATGAGGAGCTGCCAGTCAAGAAATGCGTTATGCGACGGCCGTGGTTCTCAGTTTTTCAAGCAAGCTCTCAACTCACAGGTAAATGTGAATTGTATTAAATGAATTTCACCCAGTTTGATCCTCCGAAGATCAGTAAATTATTTAAAGCTCCATTTATCGTATTTAAATTGTGCAGACGATAAAAGAAAGAATATTTACTTTTCTACGCAATTCGAGTCACGACGGAGAGCCGACGCGCTCGGTCGGTATTGTCTACGAGAACCGAGGCACTCAGTCCGTGTCATCTCACCTACAGAGACCAATCCAAAACTTACAATCAGGATGGTCAATCAATAATGACGTCAGCCAAGTTTTCCAGTTCGAAACCGATGCTAATATTTCTTGAATCTACTGTTTGTGCTCTTTATTTTATAATTCGAATTTTGCTAATGAGAAAAGCTGAAATTTGCCATATTTCCTTTCCCTACCGATAAGAACTGATCGCATCTCGAATACCAGAACAAAGTTTTTCAAATACCAGAACAAAGTTTTTTTTTGTAAAACCCTCAGATCTGGCGAGTACCTACACAACGACCTTGTTTTCAAAAATTACTAATTCTTTGACCACGAAAGAAAAGAAATAACTTAGTCTCGATAGTAATTTTATTCTCACGCTGTATACACTGACTATTTCAAAACGCACCATTGATCGAAGCCCTCACAAGTGTCTTCAGCTTTGAAGCTGAAATGTTTACGCCAGCAACGCTGAAAAGTGCGAACCTGGCTTAAGTGCTATTCGTTGGATCTTAGCATTAGGCGGCAGAATTTTCGTCGGATCTTTGCATAATTCTTCTAAACACGAAGATCTTTTTGTAATTGTATGAGGACAAGTATCCCTTGTATTGTCAGCAAGTGTTATTGGTAACTATAGTAATACGTACTGCCTAATATTCATTGCCGTATTTGTTCCAATTCCTGAATGAATGGCAATAAACTCGTTCTTCGAAATGAAAATTTATTGCTGAGACATAGAGTTGGAATAAATTCATGCGAATGACATTTATTCCATTTATTCATCTATTATAGAAACACCTGTATATTTAAGTATTTTCGAATATTTAATGGGACGAATATTATTAGAGGTAAACAAATGGTAAACCAACCGTTGGAATATAGAGAAAAGGCGATCTAAGTGAAATCTTGGAAGCAAATTCCGCAGAGTTGTTTGGTTGCTGAATAATTTCATCACATTTGTCTCTTCCCCACCTAATAGTATATGGGCGGTCCCAGCCAGCAGGGCAATGGCTAAAATAAATGACAATATTATTTGAAGATTTAAACTATTCAGCTCACTAAATGTTTATATAAACGTTCATAAAAAATTAAATTAAACTAAAAATTCATTAGAAATTAAATAAAGCGTAGATAATTCTGACTTCAGTTTATTAAACATAACTTATGTAAAGTTGTAAATAGGCCCGCACGATGTCAAAAAATTATAGGCTGGATCTGACTTGACCGAAAAATTGGGGTAGAAAACGGAGGGTTTATAGTTCGGAATGGCCGAGTTTACCGAAAGGGCTGACCCTTGTGGAATTCAAAGCTGTCGCGGTGTCCTCTTCTGGGCTTATGTGTGCGCTACGTCTGCCTGTATAAGGACCCTAAAATTCGCGTCAAAATGTTTTTTTTTCTGCTGTGGTGACCGTCACGCCAGTACGGTCTGCAGCTATCTCCGCAGACGTAGGTGACGGCCCTGGCCGCGCGGAAATTCGAGACATTCATACCATTAAGAGTCCGGTATATTAACGTCAAAATTTACGAGCAACGGCCGTAATTTCGCCATATTAGTACGGTCTACTTTCATTGATACGGTTGTGACTTTGCCGTGAAACTAAGCGATAGACAACATGACGTTAACGATATTATATATAATATCGTTGAATCTTTGTATGGCGTAATTATCAACGTAACGTATCGTATCGTTACATAATATGGCGTATTTGTCAACTTCAGCTAACAGAACATTCAAGATGGAGCACTGCGAAAGAATTATCATCGTTACGGTCATCGTAAGTGCAATACGGTCACGATCACCAACAACAGCACAAGTACGGCAAAGAGCTTAGATTAGCATCATAGACGATAAAGACTACGTCACTATATTCAGAGGTACGGTCGCTATAAATTCTCCGGTCCGTCCGGCAATGAGATCTAGATCTAAGGTTGTGTGATATAAGCACTACTATGAAGACATAACGTCTGAAAGGCGACTGCGGGGACGCGAGGCTACGGCTCTGATAGGGCCTCAAACGTGCGCATGAATTACGGAAGTTAGGAATTCATACTTTAACAGCTGTTTCCTGTATCATCGCGTTCTAATTAAATTAATTAGTTACAGATGTCGGAAGTCGCGGTTAAGAAATAAACGACAGCGATTGGTGCCTGTGGTGCTTTATTTTTAAACGTAGATTCTGATTTATTTTACGAGGTATAGTTACTTATTGTCGGCAGGTTGATTTATTTCAAATTGAACTATTCACATCAAAGAACCGTCGACTGGATACTGTCACTCACTGCAGTGAGTACTGAGTTATATTTTTTTTCGTTTATACATGTCGCTAAAACCGTTACAAATAATTCACAGCCGATAAGAAGTAATATAAAACATGGAGAATGAATCTTGAAAAAAGTTTGCTGAGGAATTATTAGCTAGGAATGATGGGAAAATAAACAAAACTCAGGTATAATTTTGATTGTTCAGTGTTGCTGATTACTCACTTCTCTGGCTCTTGTAGGTCTTGATGGTCGTAGCGTTGCCGCGATCTGCCATGAGCCTCGAGATGCTGTTGTTCCCCTGGTAGTAATCTCTTTCGTCCTCAAACACCAAAGTTTCGAAGCGGTATTTCGGGTACCATATGTCTTCTGAAATGCTGTTTCTCTCCAATTCTTCCTGAAGTTGGACGAATTCAATCCTTTCATCTTTCCATGAAGTTTTAACCTGTTCAAAGTAAGTTTTGGTCAATTAAAGAACAAGAAGGAGTGGAGGTGGGAGATCAACGGAGCAGCGCGTGTCAACACGCCAAGCTCTTAAGAAATTGCACCGCAGTCTATGGAAAATAGGGCTTACGAAATGATTATAGGCAGTGAAGTATTAGTATTCTCTTGTTCGTGGTAATATTATGATCTCTTAACTTCATAAAGAGCAGCTAGAAATATCCGTAATTTTTCCATAAACCCAACAGATGTTGCAAATTTGGAATACTTGGACTGTCACCTCCTCAATACTAATGTTATGTGTCAACGATGTCATTTACTCACTTCAATTTTAAGCTTGAGACGGCCGTTAGTAATATCCACGTCAGAAATGGATCTGATTCTGATATTAAGTTTAATCGGGAGACTGGTATTACTAGCGCGCGTATTGTCATAGTTCTGTGCGAGGTAGCTGTTCTGATCGCAGTCCTCATCCTCGAAGTCGTGACACTGCTGCAGCCCGTCGCAGTGTTGCGTCAGGGAGATGCACGAGCCGTCGTTGCACGTGAACTCTTCCTGAGGACAGGATGACACAAGAATCGAAATAATATTGGTATTTATTGTTTTTAAGATGAAATCTAATTTTCAGTCATGAAACAGCGAGTGGAAAATGTATTGGACATACAGGGAAATGAATGGAAGATAGATAAATGAATGTCAACGTTGGATTTTGGAGAATATAATAAAGTCAATCAAAAAAGTGGTGCCAATAAGAAGAAATGAATTCAAAAAGGACGCAATGTAAAATAAGAAGAACCAAAATGGAGCTCAGAGGAAGAGGATTGTGAGACCACAAAAAGTCCAAGTGAAGCTGAATGGATCCAAAGAAAAGTGGGGCGCATGCCGGAGGCCAGCTTTGCCAAACTTCACACTTCGTTCATATTCCTTTCCATAGGTAATAACGCTAGAGTGCATAACGGTCTATGAGGTCAAGTGCTCAAAGCCATAGCGCCGGATGTCCACAGTCACAAAATAAGCTTACCAAATGTAAACATGGTCATACTGCATCTGGCCAAACCTCCTCTGGCCTAACCTGTACGAGCTGCAACCTTTCTCCACCCAAAACAAACCTTAGCGGACCTAACCTAACCTCAATGGCTACAGGAAGTTAGAAATGCGGTCCAAGTGTGCGGGTAGAGCCAGTCATTGGCTGCAAGAAGGATGTGAGCCGGGACAGAGTGAATAGGTTAGGCCAGAAGAGGTTTGGCCGGAGTAGGTACAGCCGGATGGGGAACTGCCTGCTTACGAGCGAGCATGCTTTAAATTAAGCATTGGCTGAAGACCTACGGCGCTATTATCTTTCGAGTCGCTTGTCTGGATTGCGGAGTTCAAGCGTAGTCTGCGGCTTATAGTTCTGAGGCTGAGTAAAGTTAATGCATGGTGAAGCTAGGCGTTGGCAGAGCTTTATTTAAGAATAAAATTTGTGGGCTACGGCTAGCTACGCCCTCAGAAAAGTCATAGCACAGCAAATGCGAATACGAAACGAATCAATTTCAAATATTATGAAACTAACTCGAATGTTCTGGTAATGAACGTGATAGGTTTTACCACGATAATAAAGGATGCGGTCATGGAAAATGATTCGGTGGTTCCAGTTTTGGTTGTGTTTTGCGTTAGGATAAGGCAAATTTTTTTATTTAGTGGTTTAACAAAGATGGTCGAGTATATTCTATATAATAAGGCTCAATAACGCTATGGTATAAATCTGTCTTTGGTAATGATAGTACAAGTTAAATTAAAAGTTAAAATGAGTTACACAGTAAAAAAAAAAAAGTTACACAGTTGGATTCTTGGCTTTGCAATATGAGCAATCTTTTGGGATTATTTATCTAAACAGCATACAGCACAGTGACGTATTGTTACAAAATTTTAGTGTTAATACTACATTATGTTACTTACATTTGTAACATTATGTACATAATGTTACATACATACATACATTTTTTTAAGCGGCACTCGACACGGTGTCGCAATGTTACAAAATTTTAGTGCTAATACTACATAATGTTAACGTAAATACAATCCATTACTAGTTTCGATATAAAATGTGATTATCAAAATTCCATCTAATGTAACACAACATTATTCAATGTACCTCTGCGCAGGCTGAGATGACAGTCTCCTGTTCATCCTCTGGACCGTCTGGCCTGTGGGACTTAAACCTTCCCATAGGAACATCCAGGACTTGCATGGCTACTAAGTGTTTGTGAGACAACGGTTGCAAAATATTTGAGCAACTTGGAATATGGCTAGCATATATTGAACTTCGGGTGAATGGCATCACGATTATGTTCTAAGTTGTGGAATAGGTTTACGTCACATATCCTCTGTATGTTCAATTGTTCGTGTCACTATGAGAGATGTGCACATCTGGTCCTTTAGTGTTGTGCTGTTCTCCGGAGGTAGTGCGTGTAGGGTTAAAAATTACATTCGATGTACGTAGCCATTTAAATTTCTGCAGGTGTTTAATGAAGGTTAAGAATTTATTTCGTAACATAATGAAATTGTGTCTATTGAGTATTTATTTGTCATTTTCTGTTATTTACTTATTTGTTGCTTGTCTTAATAGATAATTATTCTCCACCCGAATAAGTCTTTGTGGTGGTGGTAGACGTATCGAAATTCCAATAACCTGTACTTGTAAATGTTTACGCTTAATCTTGTGAAGCTGCACCGCAATAGCTGTTTGATAACAAACTAGTTAAGCATGGCTTTCATAATAGATTTAGTTTGACTCCTCATCATTATTGCATGGCTACATTGCGGTTTTATGAGGACTCTAACTTGTCAATGTATGATCCTAGACTGTTCCTAATTGCACCAACTGCTGATATCAATATAGCGCATCATAACTCACGGACATGTTGAAGTATGGACCATTGCCACTCTGGTCATTCAAGGTGATGTTGTACATGCAGGGATGAACCCCAAAAGGGTAGATCGTCAGGTCGAAGTCGCAGAGCAGAGTGAAGGCAGTGAGCTCCATGCGGACCACCTCGGCTTCGTACAGGCGCTCTGGAGATGATCGATTTTGTTTACAGAGGCGGATAAAGTGAACATCTTTGGGTTGTAGTCTTCGTGAAGCCATAAGATTTTTTTGCTGTATCAGAGAAAGTTCAACTCCACTTCAGGAAAAACCAATACCCACTAAAAAAAATTGTTGAATTATAATTATTATATTAACCTATTAAATTCATACAACCACTCCCTAGAGTAAAATTAATAAATTTTCCGACTTAAGTGATAATCGGTGTTGAATCATGAAAATTATTGCATGAAATCTTTATACTAGTGAACTACCCCCTATGTAATTCATATAAACACAGGGGAAAATTGGCGAATTATTCTTCTACTTATGTGATATTCGGCATTACATCATGAAAATAATTACAAGGAAACCCTTATGAAAAACTACTGAAATGCCACTTATAAAATTTATACGCCTCATGCCAAAGATTTAGGAATTATTCTAATTGAGTGATATTCGATGCTAAATAATAAGAGTTTTTTTATAGCAAAACCCAATTATAAAACTACTGAACTGCCACCTATTTAATTCATTTGTGTCTTTCATTGCTGCCAACATTTATAGCTTCTTTTAATTAACACATTCTTCAATTAATGTAAAATATTAGAAATGGAACAATTTGACGAAAGCCGGTTGGTAGTTTATACACCTTCTTCGCTAAGTTATCGGCTTTCAACTTTATTAACGTCCATTAACCCTGAAGTGCCAACCACCTGCCTTTTTTTCGCTTATACATGTCGCTGAAACCGATACAAATAATTCAAGCCGATAAGAAGTAATATAAAAAATGGAGAATGAATCTTGAAAAAAGTTTGCTAGAGGAATTATTAGATAGGAATGATGGGAAAAAAACTCAGGTATAATTTGACTGTTCAGTGTTACTGATTACTCACTTCTCTGGCTCTTGTAGGTCTTGATGGCCGTAGCGTTGCCGCGATCTGCCATGAGCCTCGAGATGCTGTTGTTCCCCCGGTAGTAATCCCTTTCGTCCTCAAACACCAAAGTTTCGAAGCGGTATTTCGGGTACCATATGTCTTCTGAAATGCTGTTTCTCTCCAATTCCTCCTGAAGTTGGACGAATTCAATCCTTTCGTCTTTCCAAAAAGTTTTAACCTGTTCAAAGTAAGTTTTGGTCAATTATAGAACAAGATGGAGTGGAGATGGGAGATCAACGGAGCAGCGCGTGTCAACACGCCAAGCTCTTAAGAAATTGCACCGCAGTCTATGGAAAATAAGGCTTACGAAATGATTGGGCAGTAATAGTATTCTCTTGTTCATGGTCATATTATGATCTCTTAACTTCATAAAGAGCAGCTAAAAATATCCGTAATTTTTCCATAAACCCTACTGCAAATTTGGAATACTTGGTATATCCTTTCCTCGGTAATTGTGTTATGTGTCAACGGTGTCATACACTCACTTCAATTTTGAGCTTGAGACGGCCGTTAGTAATATCCACGTCAGAAATGGATCTGATTCTGATATTAAGTTTAATCGGGAGACTGGTATTACTAGAAGGATGACAAAAGAATCGAAATAATATTGGTATTTATTGTTTTTAAGATGAAATCTAATTGTCAGTCATGAAACAGCTAGTGGAAAATGTATTGGACATACAGAGATATGAATGGAAAATAGATAAATGAATGTCTACGTTGGATTTTGGAGAATATAATAGTCACTCAAAAAAGTGGTGCCAATAAGAAGAAATGAATTCAAAAAGGACGCAATGTAAAATAAGAAAAACCAAAATAGAGCTCAGAGGAAGAGGATTTGGAGACCACAAAAAGTCCAAGTGAAGCTTAATGGATCCAAAGAAAAGTGGGGCGCATGCCGGAGGCCAGCTTTGCCAAACTTCACACTTCGTTCATATTCCTTTCCTTAGTTAAGAACGCTAGAGTGCATAACGGCCTATGAGGTCAAGTGCTCAAAGCCATAGCGCCGGATGTCCACAGTCACAAAATAAGCTTGCCAAAGGTAAACATGGCCATACTGCATCTGGCCTAACCTCTTCAGGCCTAACCTGTACGAGCTGCAACCTATCTCCACCCTAACAAACCTTAGCGGACCTAACCTAACCTCAATGGCTGCAAGAAGTTAGAAATACGGTCCAAGTGTGCGGGTAGAGCCAGTCATTGGCTGCAAGAAGGATGTGAGCCGGGACAGAGTGAATAGGTTAGGCCAGAAGAGGTTTGGCCGGATCATAGGTACAGCCGGATGGGGAACTGCCTGCTTATGAGCGAGCATGCTTTAAATTAAGCATTGGCTGAAGACCTACGGCGCTATTATCTTTCGAGTCGCTTGTCTGGATTGCGGAGTTCAAGCGTAGTCTGCGGCTTATATGTAGTTCTGAGGCTGAGTAAAGTTAATGCATGGTGAAGCTAGGCGTTGGCTCCAGGGCTTTATTTAAGAGTAAAATTTGTGGCCTACGGCTAGCTACGCCCCCAGAAAAGTCATAGCACAGCAAATGCGAATACGAAACGAATCAATTTCAAATATTATGAAACTAAATCGAATGTTCTGGTAATGAACGTGATAGGTTTTACCACGATAATAAAGGATGCGGTCATGGAAAATGATTCGGTGGTTCCAGTTTTGGTTGTGTTTTGCGTTAGGATAAGGCAAATTTTTTTGTTTAGTGGTTTAACAAAGATGGTCTAGTATATTCTATATAATAAGGCTCAATAACGCTATGTTATAAATCTGTCTTTGGTGATGATAATACAAGTTAAAATAAAAGTTAAAATGAGTTACACAGTTGGATTCTTGGCTGTGCAATATGAGCAATCTTTTGGGATTATTTATTTAAACAGCATACAGCACAGTGACGTATTGTTACAAAATTTTAGTGTTAATACTACATAATGTTACATACATTTGTAACATTATGTACATAATGTTACATACATACATACACTTTTTTAAGCGGCACTCGACACAGTGTCACAATGTTACAAAATTTTAGTGCTAATACTACATAATGTTAACGTAAATACAATCCATTACTAGTTTCGATATAAAATGTGATTATCAAAATTCCATCTAATGTAACACAACATTATTCAACGTACCTCTGCGCAGGCTGAGATGACAGTCTCCTGTTCATCCTCTGGACCGTCTGGCCTGTGGGACTTAAACCTTCCCATAGGAACATCCAGGACTTGCATGGCTGCTGAGAACAATATTTTACCGGACTTGTTGATCTGATACTCGGTGTTCTCGCTGTTCAGGGCAATGGTATCCCTGTACCGAGTGCGGTACACGCTCTGGAATCCGTCTCTAACCAAGTAAAACTTGCCGAAAGAGTCCATTCTTTCACCAAGCATAGTGAAGGAAGCGTTCTCTGGAATCTAATCGAAAGTACAAGCGCTCAGTCATGTAAAATTTTTACATTTAACAAGTATTATAAAATTTTTTTATTTGTAAGTATTCCATTCTCGTGTGCATGCGAATAAAACCAGAACTTAAGTGCGATGGTCAAAATCAACTGTTAACTAGAAATTTCCCGGGGCCATACCTTCAAAATTCGCTAAGTGAACGTAAGTACTTACGCTCTATTTTCTTGTCCATGATAGGTGGATTTTGCTGGAAAGACCGTCAATGATTGGTTCATGAACTTACGATCTTATAACTTTTTTTGAAAGTATAGGCCCAGATCTTTTACCGTTGAATCGCCTAGATTCAACGTATTTGCATGTAATTTTTCATATACTAATGATATCCTTTTGATTACGTTCTTCACTATGGTTTCTAACTCTAGTGTGATATCATAGATTTTATTTTTCATATTAAGATGACTGAGTAGTTTTGTAATTTGCAATTATCCTATTTCCGCGCTTAAATAGTTCATGAATAAATTAAAAGTACAGTGAACATTTCTCTAGTCGGTCAGAAATATATATACCATTAGTAAGGCTGTTGATGAGATTGTTTCTTCTGTAAGAGATATGATTGTGAATTCATTCTTATTCGTCAAACAATGAATGTGCAATAAGAAAAAATCACATATAATTGACAAAGTATTGAGACCATGCTTGTAGCCAAACCTAATTGTTGATTTATTTTCATGTAGATGAAATGCTCACCTGGCACACCAGCATCTTCTTCATCTTACTGTCGCAGTCCACTTCTACGTGCGTCTCGTTGCTCAAATCGTAACGAATGGACGCGGAACACGTGTTGTTCCGGGACTTTCCTTGCACCCACAAGACCACATCAGATCGCACCGCAGTCAGCTTCCAACAGAGAAATGTTAGCTAATAACCAAAACCTCTCTTATGTTCTGACACTTCATTTACTTCCATTTGCTTGATTCCACTGAAGTGAAAAATTCTAAGATAAGTTATTTAGGTAAATGTTGAAGCGAGGCGCCCTACTCAGACGAATATCCTTCATAAAACTATGCTGTACCTGTCACAGGTTATACTTCATCATATAACATCTCCCGATGTAGCGGCCATGTCAACCCCATGTCAATCAATGATAGTAGTAAATGTACGTGATAAATGTATTAAAGTTTTAGGAACACTTTTAGTAGACAGATGATGAGTTTACATATTCCCATGTTTTATTGGTTAATGTAGCCGAAATTTATCACATTTTTTAATGTCATTGTCCAGCATTCATCCATTCTGCTCACCGCTTCCTTCATGCTCTTTATTTCAGAGTGGTTGGCAAATGGTAAAATGCCTGTGAACTTCTTGCACCAGCTGGCAGCCTCGTCGTAAGTGAAGCCACCTGTGCCCAGGTAGCGCAGCACCGTGGTGCGGACGGCGCATGGGTTTAGGTCCAACACTTCCACGCTTGGGTGAGAAAAGTATGTACCTCTCAAACTTTGAAAATTTTTCTTTTTTTAATTAATTAGAATAATCAATCTTACTTATTGAGTTTATGAATCACTTAGAATTATTTTATTCACTGATTCTGTTTGCTCGCACTATTATAATCGGGTAATGAATGGTTAAAAATTTAATAATACAACCATTTATACTACTTTACTGTCATTTTGGTTTTTGTCTATGCCCCTTCTACTGAACCAACCAAGCTCTACGTCTACGTGATGCTTATTCTTAGGTGTGCGAGCATTTTTCCTTACACGCAAACTTTTTACATTTTATGTGATCCTCAGTCCAGGTTATTGTTAACTAACCTTAGAACCAACTGGGCCCAAACTTAAAGGTTCTTG